GACTTGTACGCTGGACGCTCAGCATAAACTGATTAAAAAATACATAATCATTGAGAGAGTGAAGCTTTCTGTGGGGAGACATTTTGTAGTATTTTGGAAGGAGTCTCCAGTATCAGTGTTACAGTGTAACAATCAGAAGTATAGCTTTTTGTGTGTTATCAGAAAAACAGAAGTTTGTGAGATCTGTTTATAGCAAGTGATAACAGGAACTAAGTTGTTTTGCAGATGTTCCCCAACATTAAATGTAGCTATAAATGGAAAAAAGTTCTTTAATTAATAAAAATTGTAATGACATATGATGTGGTATAAGAGGAATACAACACGTTGGAACGTGTTGTTATAGGAAAATAATCATCTTTGGGATGGTAACAGTAACTCCGCTTCACAACTGGTTGCATTACACCCCCCTGTAGTTCATTATTTTTCCTGAATCAGCACTCCATGTCATGTTTCCTTCCTTACATACATGGTCTTAAAGTGATGGTTTAGCAAAAAAAAAAAAAAGTTTAATTTAGCTAGCATTAACAGAATTTCCATAAACCTCTGCCTCAAATCAGATTTGCTGTGATCTATAAAAGCGAATAAAACAGGAAAATGTAACTATAGGTGCGGCCATCTTGGATGACAAGAGCTGCTTTTTGTCTTGGCGCAAGCCACAAAGCCCCGCCTCCTGTTTGTCATCCATGTTAGTATGATTAAATCTTCAGAGTTTCACTTTTAACTTTAATTTGTAAATCCCTGATATTTTACAGGATTGTTTATTTTAAAAGTGAGATTATTAGAAGCAAGTTACGATTTCAAGATTTGGGCATGTGTCTGTAGTAAGCGAGTCCGAGTAAATCCGGAGTAAGTGCGGACATTCAAACAGGAACCCAAGTCAAGACATAGGGAACATTGCATTCAGCTAAAACTCACCACTTCTTTTTTTTTTTTTTTTTTTTTCTGCATTAGAAAAGCCTCGTGGTTGAAGTCATGTTCTCATTGTCATGCAAAATGTAATTCTGTAGACACATCAGCTTTGGCACTAACTGCTTTGTCATTCTGTCTCCTCAGCAAACCCTGCATGAGAAGTGGGATGAGTACAGATCACTGATGGTGCAGGAGCAGAGACTTGTTCACGGTGAGGCTTCATTAGCACTTCCCTCAGCAAGCACGAGTCATTATGAATCAGCGTCTTGCATTAGCGCCTGGTCTGCACAGAGGCTCATATATATCGCACAGTGTTGTTAGGGCTGGTGAGAGAGTGTTGCTAGGGCTGGTGAGAAAGAGTGTTGCAAGTCAGCCACATGCAGCCGTGTGTCTGTGTGTCTGTTAACACCTCTGCATGTATGTAGGCCAATGTCTGGCTCACAGTCCATCTGTTTCTGATAAAATAGTGACGTTTTAAGAGCAGTTTCTCCATTTGTCTGTCTGTCTGTCTGTCTTTCTGTGTGTTGCCTTTCTTTCTTGTCCACTTGGTTTTAAATGCAAACTTGGAATTTGGTCATAAGGCATTTTGAATGGAAATAGAACTGTGACCTAATAAAACCTCAGGCTTGGCCAAAGTTGGAAAAGTTGACACACTGACATTTATAAGCTTAAGGAGGTGAGATTAAGAGCAATGGAAACAGATTTTTCAAATGATAACATGCTGTTGAGTGCAAAGATTTGCATACCCTTAGCACAAAATGCACAAAAAAAAAAAAAGGGCAATAGTTATTTACAAGGACAAGACATTTAATGTGTTAGGGTGATCCTTCATTATCACAAGTAAGAAAAATATGTGGTGGCCTAGGAAAACCCATAGTTCTCAATACTGCAGGCTTTGAGGCTGAACTGAAATATTTCTTTTGCATGTATCTCAACCACAAGTGAAGTTCGAACATTTTAAACTCGGATTACCCCAAAAATCTGTCTCGAATCTAGATTTCATTCGACTGTGGCGAAGGAGCATCATAGACATTTCTGACAGCCAATATCTAATTACAAAATTAATAGATTAGGCTCATGTCGGTTTCGCAACAGCACATATCAAAGCATGACATTCACTGTGTGAGGAAATCCCACATGGCTAGTGAGGTTTTGGACACATTTACGCAGACTGTTTCTTAAGCTGCCTCCTTACACATGATCTTGCACAAAGTCATATTGGTGAAAATATATTTCTGGTTTCTTCAAGTGGATGCATGTTATTCAAAGTATGTTATGTTATGCAACTCAAGTTTGGCCCAAACCCAATACAATAATATTCAAAAATTTAAATTTTCTTTAGCCTGTTTAAACCATTTTAATAGTAAGTTTTAATAGTAATGTATAAGAGTTGGTTAGGTAAGACCTGGCCTTGAGGTTTTTTTTTTTTTCTTTTCTCTAACATATTTTCTCTCTCTTCTCACAGGCATCGTGATGAGCGACGTGGCCGTGTATGAGTCCCTGGAGTCGGCCGGTGTGTACGGCAGTCTGGGTGCTCCGAGCCCCCTGACCTCCCGCTCCCTCCGCTGCACAGGCAGCACCAACAGCAGCGCCAGCCACCTGAGCGAGGATGACCCGCTCTACCAGACCTGCTTCTACCAGCCCAACAACAGCAAAGGAAACGGCGATGACGCCAGTGACGGCTCCGTTACCCTCGAGGACAGGCCACAGCGGACACGTAACCGTCTGCTCCGGCCCACCAGTGAGTTCTTTGCCTCGGCCAAGACGTCGCTGAGCCGCAGCGCCAGCACACGCAGCTACCTGAGGGGCTCTTCCTCATCGGCATCATCATCGTCCTCGGCGCCTGGTGGAGAAAAGCAGCAGTGTGGCGCGTTCAGCTCGCTGCAGAGGAAACCCAAACGCACAAGCATCAGGCGCAGGCTGCTCAAATACATCCCAGGTCTGAACCGAGCTCTAGAGGAGGAGGAGAGCAAACTGTGATAAAACTCAGGGCAAAAAAAAAGACTCTCACACAGCCAGAGACTGCAGTCTAAACACCAGGAACATGCCTTCAAATCATAAAACCCGACACCATCTCTTGTAAGAGATGAACAACCAAAAATGAGTATACATAAAAACAACTTAATGGGATATGCCATTTCTATTGGAAACATTGTCCATCTTCAGTTATTAGAAAATTCTTAAAATGTTGGGAGTGCTTACAGTATAACTACTTGATGAATAGCCATAACTTTACCCAAAACTGAGACTTTTCACTGTAAATAGTAGTTAGTTCCACTTTGTCGAATGTGAAATGTTGAAAAACTGTGTTACAGAACTAAACTGAAGTTGCCTTTTGTTCACTTGGCCAATTCCTGATAGTATTTATACTGTCACAAACTCGACATTTTGAATGTCTTATTTTCAAACAAAAATCGTGAAGAACCAGGAGCATATCCTTTAGTCGTCTAGACACTCAAACATTTAAAGACCAAAACTAAATAACTAAAAAATGATGTAATCGGGACCAAAACTCCCAGCGTGCAAAACCAAAGCAACCACGAGGTGTTAAGTGTCTGCTTATTTTCAGCACTCCGTTAATCTGTGCTGGTAAAAACCTGGCAATCATGTTTAGTCAGTGATCACTCGTCTTGTACATATTTTTTTAAAAATAATTTATTTATTTATTTTCATTTGTTTTTGTTGTTTTTTTTTATATATACAAAATGAAGGGTTCTTTTGTTGTTTTTTTTTTCTTTTTCTTTTTTTTATTCTGTGATCAAGGGCATTTTTTTAATGTCTTCATTAGTGTCTTTTTTGGCATATACTGTATTCATCCATGTCTTTTTCTACTCTGAAAAAAAGCTCAAAATAAATGTGTGATATCAGTTCTGTCTTGCGTGTCATCACTTTACACCTCCTACAAGAGTCGTTTGTCGTTTATTCCGTTTGCATCGGTGCTGTTATTTCTGTTTTCCTGAAATAACTTGTTCATTTTAGTTGCTACGTCATTATGTTTACTGCATAAATAAAGATTTCGGAGAGGGTATTTCTAGGAAAAGGAATCACCCAAAACAACACTTTTTTTTTTTTTTTTTTCCCATAACCGTCACTTGTGTGCATTTTAGCTCTTTACGAAGGCTAATAATAGTAGTACAAGAGAATTTGGAGATTATGAGGACATTTGCCTGGTCCTCAGAAAACAAGTTGTGTTTTGTAAAAAAAAAAAAACAGCTTTTAACTGAAAAATGAAGAGTCCGTATATTTACTTTTAAGTACTGTTCAGTGATTACAGTTTAAAAAATACAATTCTAAAGAAGAAAATGTGTGTTTAAAGAAGTGATGTGAATATTTTTCAACTTCTACAAAAGTGGTGGAAAACGGTGTATGGAATTGAATATAGCCAATCATTTTGAACTTTCTTGATCCTGAAGCTTGTGGACAGAAAAGTGTTCTAAAGATATCAGACTCGGTGAGGTGTGGGCAAAGTGTCTCAGGGCTAAGACTAGTTGTAACAGGGCTGGAATAACAGGGCTAAGCCCTCCATCTCCTCCAAGAAAAACAAGCTTAGATTTTTTGGCATCCACATTTTCTTAGTTGCTGTTACCTAAATGGCATGGATTGTTTTGAATTATTTTGATAATATTTGGTGAAGAAAAAATAAATCATGTAAAGAAGCGAGGCTGGGGCTGATTTCTTTCTAGCCCAGACTGTATCCTAGTGACAGTCGTATCAGATGATTACACAGAGTGAAATGCCTCCTAGATTTGGCGTCTAATTTATTTCAGCTGCCTTCTCTGACACACCCACAATACGTCATCGTTGATAGAAAAAATAGAAAAATGAGTGCAATAAATACAAACATTCAAAATGCCTTTTGAGGAGAAACTAAAAGAAAACAGACTAAACACCCATTGTCCAATGTTTTTGTTCTTTTGGCTGCTCCCGTTAGGCCCCACCACAGTGGTCACTGGTCTGCATATTTGATTTGGCACAGTTTTTTTTTTTTTACGCCAGATGCCCTTCCTGATGCAACCCTCTGCAATTTTATCCGGGCTTGGAACTGGCATTGTGAGTGCACTGTCGTGTGCAACCCCAGTGGCTGGGTCTGGTTTTCTGGCTGGGAATCGAACCCGGGCCATGGCGGTGAGCGCACTGTGGCCTAACCACTATTCCTCCAGGAACCCTAGCATCCATTGTCCAATCAAAGTTGAAATTATACAACAGGACACATGAGAGAGCAGGCTAATGACAATGCAGCTTTTCCTTTTACAATGCTTGTCATTCGGAAGAGGCACGACATGATTACGGAATTTAAATAAAATATTAGGACACACTCATTGTATGTGAGAGTTAATGAGTGTGCGTATATAATAGTTTTATGTCTATGACAAGACCCCATGCTATAAGGATATAATATGAACAACGAGTTTCTGATACATAGTAGTTTGATTTTTTTCCCCCCGCTCGTTTAATATCATGACCAGACGTCACAGAGATGTAGCATTATTGAGCTACAGTACTATTTACGTCAATAACAGGATTTGACATAGTTACCAAATTCAGTGTGTGTGTGTGTGATGAGGAGAAAAGGTTGATTGCATTCTTCTGGTTCAGGGCTCAAAACTAACCTTATAGCGTCCTTGATTGAGAGCCTCAGGCTGTTTATAGCTACTGTTTGAGGATAAAACGTGTTGGAATGTGTGAAAAAAAAAAAGACCCCGAAATTCCTGCTCTATTCTCTATCGCTAGGCCACAGCTGAACCTTGGCCTCTGTGAACTCACAAAATAACACATTGCCATGGAGCTTTGGGAGTATTCAAGGGTTTTTGGTAGAAAGGCTTTCACCTCAGTGTCTCGTCTGACCTGGGAGGTCATGTAATCCCCCTCCCACTCGACCCTTTTCACTCTTTCTCTAGCCTAGGCTTTGTCCCCTCCCACAGCCGGTGCCAATTGGATCATGACGTTGTTTGGATGGCCGTCAGTTGTCATGCAGGGCAGCCAGGGCTTGGGTTTGTTGCACTATTGTTTACAGCTAGTGACAGATAAAGGGGATAAATTGGTAGTTGACGTCAGCGATTACGATTATGGGCTTTTAAGAGCATTCGGCGTGATTAGGGTTCTTAAAAGGCCTGAATATGTAACGAGTGAATGTGAAAGACACGGATGAATGATGGGCAGAGAGTCGATGCAGAATAATTAGCACTGCTAGTAGCAAGGAAAAGGGTGGTGTTATTAGGAATGTGGTGTAGGTGTGGCTGCTTATAATATTTATTTATAGTAACAGGTATGGTAACAGGTATGTGTGTGTGTTTGCGTCTGTGTAGTTCACCAGGAAAACACCAGCAAAACAAGTCATGTGGATGATAAAGTGCTATAAACCAGAGACGTGGCTAAAAGGGAGATTTCAGGTTTGAAATATTTTATGACCATTCCAAATGTTTATTTGAGTGTTTATCATATCACAGCTGATTATATATATCAAACGAGATTTATTTGCACAGAAATTGAGCTATTATGATGTTCACAAGAAGGCAACAGAGCCATCATTACGATTCCTCTGTATTAAATCACCATGAACGTCAAAGTAATGCATCCCTTAGTTTGTTTAATAATTTTAATAATAATTTTATTGGCCACAGGATTAACCAATCAGAATCGTGCATTTTATTCCATTTCTGTTGGAATGCTTCTTGCCAGTTACAGCTGAAAGATATGGAGGCTTACTGCCGGAGGAAGACATGAATTTCCTCCTGTTATTAACATGTAAAGCTAATCATGTTCAGTGGAACTGTCATAAAGCTGTTTTATTTCCTGTGCATTTTTTAAAAATGTCTTTAAAAAATGTCTTTAATTAACACCATCACTGGTTCTACTGATTTTCGGTATCCACCGAAAATGCACAATTATGACACACATCAATTTAATGCTTGATTTTTTTGGCATATTTCCAAATTAATTTCTGGTTAAACACATTTTTAGGAAAGTAATGAGAGGAAACCGCCCCATGATGCAATCAAAAAAGCGCTACCTTATTCTGTTCATTTGACACAAAGACTTTTGTCCTTGGATCACAATCACTGGCAGGCGAATCTAAGGAGGAAATCCAACAACTCCCTGGAGTTGGTTGAAAAAAAAAAAAGCCTGGTTGATCCCAGAACCTCCTCCCACTTGTGCACAAACACGCTCTGTGTGAGAGTGTGTTCCTAATTACGCACTTGTGTGTGTACTGCAATGAGCACAAGTTTCCAACATAAGGCCTCTATTGTAGTGGACTTCCTAACGTTTGTCTTCATGTTTTTTACCTGTGTTTTCTGGCAACAGCTGAAAAGGAGAGGTTACGTAAGGAAGGTCGATTCAACTGGAAATCCACAAGAGAACCCTACCAGGACAATAGCAAGGATAAATAATAATCAACAACATGTAGGAAATTCATGGCGTATTTGTCACACAGGATGTATAACTGGTTGGCACAGAATGATTCAAATCTGATTGTAATGATTACTATCCGGTGACACTCAGAAGAAGATGGGCTGGCTTTAGAGCCTGCTTCCTCTCAGGATTTCTTCCTTATGTGTTCTTAAGGAATTTTTCTTGCCACTGTTGCCTCTGGTTCGCTAATTAGGAATATAGGGCTGGATTTCTAGAAAGCTGCATTATGACAATGTCTATTTTTTAACAGTGATATACCAGGCCTTCCCAAACTTTTGGGCATTACAAATTTTCTACAGTCCCAAGCCTTAACCATGCTAAATCTTTTTCCCAGATTTATGATTTAGGACTTGTAAATCCATATTCAATAAATCTTTTTGCATATTTTTGTGCTTGTTTTCTTGACTTCTGTTGATTCAAAGTCACTCATTATCGTCAGGGAATTACGTAGGTAGATGAATGGAAAAACACTCCTATGCTAGTGCAGCATGTCAGGATAGCAAAAATGACTCGAATAGCATGTACACACTTCATATAAATGGCTTGAATGTGGCTCCTTCAAAAAATGCATCTTCATAATAAGAGCGATATCCCAAACCTGACCCCCAGTTAGGAACCTAGGAACCCCTGAACTATACAAATAAAATAGAATTGAATTTGACTAAACTGAATTAAAAAGTTTGGCAAAGCTCTGGAAGCAGATAGTAGCAGATTGTGTTATTTCACTCCTACTATTTATGGCTGTAGAAGCCCACCATCATACATGCTCTCATTATGTTTTCAGCGAGGTTCCTCAAAATGTTAGCTAGCAACTGTCTCTTAGTTACTTGGGTTGTTTTGTAAAGCCTGTGATTTTTGGTATGATTAGTAAAATAAAGATTTTATGCCCGCTTAAATTGTAAAAAAAACAAACAAACAAACAAACAAAAAAAAAAACCCAAACCTCTGAATTAATATTGATATAAAATACAATGACACACACACAAACATGAGTGTCTAGGGAGAGAAAGAAAGGAGACAGAGAGAGAGAGAGAGAGAGAGAAAGAGAGATATGCAATTTGTAGATATACAATTACTATCTCTGTGGGACAGAAACCACAACAGGACCCCACCACTGTCCAAATATTATGTAGATACTCAGGGGTGGACAAAGACCAGGGTATCCCAGTTTCCCAGGTCAGGAATACTACGTGCCCAGGATTGCCAGGAAGTTTTTTATTCATAGTTTCCCGCAAGATAAGTACACTCGGTAGTCTAGAGGTAGCCTGTGTTTTTTTTCTTCTCTCATTCAACAACCAGAGAAAGAAAAGCTTTCTTACTATTGACATTCTCAAAACAGAAATTTTCTTTTTTATGTACTGTGTATACTGCTTCACAGTGAACTGACACACTGCAATGCTGTAACTACCTGCTGCACTACGCACATCAGGTTTTACCAGGTTGATTAATTAGTGACAATATTTTCAGAATCAGGAACACACAGGTATGTTGAAACATTGACACAATTGAGCAAAATAAAGTGCTAAAAATATAACACTCCTGCTTACTGAACGCCTTCATTGTGTTAAAACAAAGCCGAAGCTAAAGATGCTCAAATAATATCATTTACGTGCAATGTGAAGAGAAAAACAACATCTCATAGCCAAAATGTTGGCCAATGACTTGCTGACTTTTTGCTGAGGATGTAAAAACAGTATACAGTACAAACAGGAAATCTCAGACACTGTCTTAGAACAGGATAATAACTATGGCCCAGTCATCTACGCTGTGGGAATTTATATACATTACTTTATATAGCTTTTATATATATATATATATATATATATATATATATATATATATATATATATATAGCCTAATCAATTACATTTCCACAACCAAAACATGGAGCTTTCGCTTGCCAATTGGGCTAGGTAATGAATTTATGAGTTGTCCACCCCATTTCATCATTCTCAGTACAACATTGCTGGGAATTTAATGACTAGCTTGTTATTACATCTTGTAGGTGTTTGGTTAGAGACTAAAGTTCATCTTTTTCCATGTTAATCATGATCTACTCTTCTACCTGAAATTCTTTGTAAACGTAGCTAATAAAGTTGGAACAGAGTTTGCTTCTATCACCAAACATGCCATATATTAAGAGTAAGAACGAAACTACATGACTACTATTCTGAGTTTTAACTCAGTTACAAAGGTAGATTCACATTTATTCAATTTGTGATTATCAATGGTTACATGTTCGTGCAAGTACATGAAAGGTCAAAGATTTATGTGGTTTCAATGCCTTGTCATTGTTGTTGCGTTGTTTTGGAAACACCATTCTCGCTTCTCCAAACAGAAGTGTGTTTGAATTGAAGCCCACTCACTTGTTCATTGCTTCTTCTTCATGATACCACCGTAAGACTCTTTATAAGGCTTATAGTGCTGGAGGGGGCACAAACTTATATAAAACAAAACAAAAAAAACTCACCAGACTCCTGATTACTTAATATGTTCAAATCAATACATCTTACATTTCCTTTTCCTGAGGGAAATGTCTGGGCCCCTCAGTTACCGACCCACAGACGACCACATGAGGCAATCTGTTCCACCTCTTTCAATTAAAAAAAGAGAGTAAAATAGGAGTCGGAAATGTTCTGTTCACCACAGACGAACCACAACGCAGTACCTACTGAACATGCATGTATATTGCACCGTTGGACCGACTATTGCAACACGCCTCCACCACATGCCTACACACACTCTTCCTCTT